TGTCACCCTCGGTGCCCACAACATCAAGGAACGGGAGAAGACCCAGCAGGTCATCCCTGTGAAAAAAGCCATCCCCCACCCAGGCTATAATCCTAAGAATTTCTCCAAAGATATCATGTTATTACAGGTAAGTCTTACCTCCTCGCTGCTTCTATCTCCTTCCTACAGAATAAGCCTCTCTTTCTTGGACATTCCCCATCCCTCCTTTCCTTTCTGATCATCATGAAAATCTAGATCCAGAAGGCCATTGGTCAGCTGGACTCTCTTGCTTGTCTCCCATCAGCTGCAGAGAAAAGCCAAGCTGACTACAGCGGTGAAGCCCCTCAAGCTGCCCAAGGGCAGGTCCCATGTAAAGCCAGGACAGGTGTGTGATGTGGCTGGTTGGGGACGGAGGACCCCAAAGGGCCAATACCCAAAAACACTGCAGGAGGTGGAGCTGACAGTGCAGGAAGACCAAATGTGTGAGTCCCACTTAGAAGGTTACTACAACAGTGTCAGTCAGATCTGCGTGGGAGACCCAAAGATGATAAGTTCTTCCTTTAAGGTAAGATTTGATCATCTATCTCTCCAGGCTCTGAGAAGATGGAAGTTTGGGGAAAATCCTGAACCAGGACTCAAACAAGGAACTCTTTTGCATATCAGGCTGTGATTGCTCCCTGGGGAAAGAGGAGGGTTGTATTCCACAAATCACAAGGACCTGTGCTTCTTAAACCAAGAAGTCTCTGTGAATACTGCCCCCTGGAGGCAGGAGTTTATAGTAGGATGCCCAATCTCAGGGCACAGGCTTTTAGAATCTGTATTCCCTCAGTCTGAAGCAATTATAGTCAGGTGGCATCCCAGAACTAGCACTCACCTTTGCTCAGTTGGCCCATCCTCCCCCTGCTATCAGGTCCTTACACAGTGGCCTGGGGCTAATTTAATCTCACACCTTCATCAGGAGAGGATGTTACAGGACATGATAGAGGCTGTCCCGAACCAGTAACAACATCCATGCGCATTACTTAGCAGCCTAAGGCCTGCAGGGACCTGCTCTGCTCTCTGATTTTCTACCATCAGACAGTATTAATCACTCATCTCTCAGAAGACACTTGGGGTACACTCTTGGGGTCCTCCTTGGTATGGAAGCCAGAGCAAGAAGGATCACAAACTCAGTCCTCTTCCTTCTCTATTACAGGGAGACTCCGGAGGCCCCCTTGTGTGTAACAATGTAGCCCAAGGCATTATCTCCTATGGAAATGCTAATGGGACACCTCCACGAGCCTGCACCAAGATCTCAAAGTTCTCACATTGGATAAAGAAAAACATGAAACCCTACCAACCACAAGAGGAGACTAACACGCATCCTCCCCTCCTAATAACTGACCATCTTTCTTTGAGCTGAAGCTAGAACTGTACCAGGCAAGGTGCCAACGACTAAATAAATGTCTCTTGGTTCAGTGTGAAAGCTGGTCTCTTATTCATTGGCCTTCATCCACAGGAACCAACTCTGGGCTAGCAGGCAAATGGC